GTAACAGAAAAGGGGTTTTTGTATATTAGTTTCAAAAGTAAGGGAGATCTGTGTTATTTTTGAAACTGCAGGAGAGGTCCTTGTAATTAAGGTAAATTTCAAGGAAGGTTAGTGTAATTTACCCATTATTTTATTTAATATTTTATATTATTTAAAAAAAAATTAATACAGAAGCAATGAATCATATAGTTTAGACCAATATATTACCTCAACTTGTTTTGGAAATACTTATACTCCATTTCGATGGAAGAGTTTGGTGAGAAAAAAAAAGAATGATGAGAATAGCAAATTTATTCACTTATTTAGATGGTTAAGCAGGTAAGAAATGATGAGAGATGATGAGAAAAAGATTCTCATCAAATCTATGTTTTGTTTCTCACCAAAAGTGGTGAGACTCAGTGAAAAAATAATTGGGTTTAATAATTTTTTTTTAAAATATCAAAATTACCCTTATGAAGAAATATATCTTATTAATATGAAAGGTTATTTTGGTAAAGTAAAATACAATAATTTTATTTATTTTTTGTTATTTACTCTATCAAAACAAGATAGATGAGAAATAATATCTCTTCTTTTTTATTCATCAAAACATAATGATAAGAAATCATAATTATTATTATTTTTTCTCATCGAAAGGAGAAACAACTATTTTTTTAACCTCTAACCGAGAATATGAGAGAGTAAAGTTCAAGTAGTGTTACAAATTGATCATTATTAGTTTAATTTATAAAATTCATGATATTTATATGAGGAAATTACAAAATAAAAAAAAAAAATCTTAAAATTTGATTGTTGTAATAAAATCAATCTTTTAACTTTATTAAATCATCCAGTCAATTATCTTTTAAACAAAAATAAATGAAATAGAACTCAGCAAAATGCCCATTTCCAAGTTATGGGTAATCAAAATCAACTTGCACTTAAAATGCTACAAAAATAAAAACTCCTAGAAGTTTGTGCGATTTGCAGTTAGTTTGAGTAATGAGCCTGGGCAGTGCCTCGTTTGTTTCCCAAAATGTGATAAGATTAGTATTAGCCTATCACTTGTGTTATGTACAAGATAATTATAAATATTTATAAATATTTTAATTTATTTTAATATATAAATTATGTTTTTTTAAGATTTTTTATAAAAATAATTTAGCAATCTTATCACTAATCATAATATATGAGAGAAGTTAAAAAGGGTACTGCAATAACTATACATGGATTGTATCTATAATTATTTGTACGAGGAGATTTTAAATGCTGATCAGAGAATTTTGACCAAATCAATAAATGCAGGCATGTGGAAAGACATATGGATTGAAAAAAATTAATAAATGCTGATCATGAGATTTTGACCAAACCAATAAATGTTGAATCTTTTTTTTTAAATAAAAAATAAAAGATATAGAAAAATCCAGATTAGGATATTGAAGCTCCACAAGTCTTGGGGGTTAAAAACCCCCTTTTGCTTAATATATAGTATAGATAAGAGCATCTTTATTCCTATAATTATTTATGTATTTTTTTTTTATTATTTTAGCATACTAAAAGTATCGGTGATATTACATGTACTAATTCATATATATACTAATGTCTTAACTAGTGTTGTATTATTATTACTGACCCCACTTACTATACAAATTACAAATATCCAAAACTTTTAAAATTATGTCACATTATTTGTTAGTATACTAGTTAGTATATTAATTAACACATATATCAATATTCTAAAAGTATAAATTAAAAAAAAAAAAGATTACACATCATAAATAAATTTTATAAATATTAATAATTAAAATTTTGATTTTTTTAATATATCTGTAAATATCTTTTAAAAAATCACTGAATTGTATTTTTTTTTTTTATAAATATATTCATAAGATTTTCTGTGTTTTTTTTCCCACTATTTATCGATCACCACAACAACCTACATGTAGCCATTATATGCTATATTTCATAAGATACAGTGGTTACTATTTGAATAAATAGAATAATTATATAATTTAGTGTTTTTTTATTTTTCATCAAGAAAATCATATGAGTTTTCATCTTTGGATGCAATTGTCAGAGTAAAAATCATACAATATATACATATCAACAATGTTAGGTAGTTCAAAATTTTGTGGCTCAAATAGCTCAAATCACTTAAAACAACGTCGTTTTGACAAATTTGAGCCATTTAAGTCACAAAATTTTAAATTACCAAACATTTTTCTATATATATATGAATATAATTTTTATTGGTTCTTAAGATCAATTTTACTCTCAATAGCACTTGATGAATTTTTCCTCATCTCTTTTGTTTAAATTCCTCTTTACTTTACTGCAAAATTCTGTTACTTTTTTTTTTTTAGTTTCATAACAAGAATAAATTTCACTTTATATTAAATTTGTGATATTTATTATATTTTGTCTAAACTTCATGACTGATCTATATGATTTATCCCTTCTTCTTTTTTTCCTTCTAACATCACATAATTATTGAATGAAATTGTTTAGTTAAAATTAGATAAAGAATTTGTGTGAGTGATTTTTTGATCACACTGCCCGCTTAGTAATCAGCTAGAAAGCACCGGCAAAATAGATTGCTTTTAGCTAACCTGCAACAGAAAGAGAAGTCTCCGGCGGTGGTTCGTCTACCCGAGGCACTCCGACGATCAAGTCAGTATATCTCTCAAAGATAATCAATAGTGCAAAACTCACTATTCAGAATATAAATTGCATACCTTAGACCCACAGGAGTGCCTCTCTTTTATAGTTAATTCAATCATAGTCCTAATAGGAACCTGACTTCTATGGACTCCTGTTCAGTGCTTACTTTGGACTCCCCAAAAGATAAGGATAGATCCCCTAAGAATACTACCCTTATCCATCTTGAAGTCTTTCTTTATTCTTGGACTCTTGTCCCTTATTTGCTTATCACGGATTCCGATATCTTCGAAGATAACCTCGGCTATGCTGAGATTATCTCAGCATCGCGATTAGGACACGTGGAACCTCGGCCAACACGTCGGCGTCACCTCGGCCATGTGTTGGTGCTCAGAAAATATATCTCCACAACTGCCCCCTAGGTTTTATTACCTCGGTATTTTGAGGTGATGGAACCTATACCGGTACTTCCTTCTAGTACGTCGGCTTAAAATTTCTTCTGCCGAGATCATTTATTTCAGACCGACATGCCTCCATGAAGACTAAGGACTCTAAGAGTTCCTTCTAACATATGAGCTGTCACGCATCACTTATTTGACTGTTTCATCCACGTGTTTCATCCTTACGGGATCGTGCCTGTGACGCGCTTGTAAGCCGTCTTGCGTCTGCGTGCGCCGTCTGACGCATTCGTTACTCTAGGCGCATTAATTCATTTTCACCGCTGTTTCAAGTTTTAACAAAACTTTTCCCTCTTTTTTCATTTCCTTACTTTTCAATCGATATCCTTGCTTTTTCTCTCTTTAGCTCATCTCTCCTGAATCTGCCATTGTTTCCAGACTTCAAGCTCTGCAACTGCCTTCATTCCTCACTTCCGGTGAAGCTTTCTCCGTTCTGTTACTTCTTCAACCTTCGCTTGACTTCGGCGATTTCCATACCGGCTTCATTTTTCCTGGTAAGCCAGTGTTCATTTTGTTTTCAATTTTCTGATGCTTTTTACTACTTCTTGCCATTACTGCTTTGTTCAAACATTCGATTTGTGAATCTCATATCTGAATGTGTTTATTCCACGATTTTGCCCTTGCCCATGTCTTGAATACACGTATTGTTCACCGTTTTCTTGTGCCTTTGTCACTGTTCTTGACCTTATACTCCTTGTATTTCTTATGCTTTTGATAGCCCCACCTCTGTTCTTGATTCTGAAACTTCGTTCTTGTTTTTCTGTTTTCCAAATTTATGCCTTTAATCTTTGTTTTCATAGATTTAGGTTTGGGATTTGTCTGTAGAACCCACTAATCCTTTGGAAGAACTAAAACAATCTTTACAAATTCTTGCACCAATACATACCTAGGCTTTTGCCGAGGTCCCAACAACCCTTTTTAAAACATCTTCCTTCTGAGTTCCAATACCTTTAGGTCGATATCATGGGTATGTGGAAACATAGGGTAGACACCCCGTCCAAGCTAGAACATTTTAGGCAAGAATTTGAAATTCCAGTCGATGTCAATCTGAAGTTGGCTGGAGATGATGATTCCATCATGCCTACTGATAACTCCATGCCTTTCCCTGTAGTTGCCTTTATTGAGTGTGGACTTCGGCTTCTACTCAACATCTTTTTTCGCGAGATTCTCCATTATTATAAGTTGAACTCCATGCAACTTGCCATCAATTCTTATCGAGTGATCAATGGTATCATAGCCTTAGCTAAACAGGAAAACGCTAGGATCACCTTAGCCGATATTCAATACTGCTATACCATGTGCGGCCTTAACTTGAAAGAAAAAGGCTACATTTATTACCTTAAGTCGAGGTCCACAGAGTTCAAAATCGTAGCCGACCTCCCAGACTCCAACAAGGGAGCTGGGGACGACTATTTCATTACTTCAGGGAACTGGGAGTTTGCCCCAGATGAAGACCTCCATCTCTTCCCTCTCCCTCGATCAGTTTTTGTAGAGGGTAATGGTAAGAGCCCTGCATTCATACTTGTTTTTTAAAGTCTTGCATACTTTATCTGTTTCTTAACGTTTGTTTTTCTTGCAGTTGTTCCTAAGCCACCAAAAAACTTTCGCCAATCCTTCTTTCCCAGCAAGGATTTGAAGAAACTCTTAGACCTGTCAGTCCATAAATGGAGGGCGCCTCTGCATCTCAATTTTATTCTAACATACAAGTCGGCTCTGCCCGACGTTCCTAAGAGGAAGAAGAAAAGCCTTTCTCCACTCTCTACCATAACTCCACAGACTGCGTCCACATCTTGGACAGATCAAGGATCAACATCTGATCCAGCTGATCAGCCATCAACCTCGGCTCCATACCTGACTCCGATATCCCAACGCCGTCAACGACGCTGAACAGTTCCTTCTGCTGAGATGGGTCGCCCAAAACTAGTTACAAAAGATCTCCTGGCCAGCCTCCCTTCTGATGTTGATGCTCAGCCAGCACAAACTCAGCCTCCATCGAAGTCGAAAAGAATCAAGAAGGCTCAACCAAAGGCGAAGGTGACTCAGGTTGAGACTGAGGATACTTTGCCGATCTCAAAGTTAGCTGAGAGTGACAAGTCTCAATCTGCTGTCGAGAAAAGGCGTGCCGATGCTCAACCATCCGAGTCCACCCGTTCCAAGAAGCCGACAACATCCTCTGCAAATACTTCAGGGTCTAAAAAGCCTGATGCCCCCTGGGCCCCGAGATTACTTTGGAAAACAAGCCTGCTATGGCTAGCGATAGTGCTGACGATATTAACGTCGGCGTCGCCCTAAGTACTGTCCTACTTCTTCCCGGCGATCTTGACCGGAACGCCGAGATGAGTGAATATGAAAATTACGCTCTGATGCTTCATTGATCTGTTCAAGTAAGTGTCTTCACTTGGTAACTTGCCTTTTTTTCCGTTTTTTTCATACTTGTAAAATTTTTCAATAACTTCTGTTTACTTTTCAGGCCATCCAGCATGCCCACTCTTTCTCTATACAATCTTTTGAGAACAGGGAGAAGTTGATCGAGGCGAGGAGGGAGGTCTCCAGTCTTCAAAAAACCAACAAAAGTCTACAATCCAAAATGAAAAAGTTGGAGGACCAGGTCGAGGCTGCCATTAAAGCCCAAACTAATGCCGAAGAAAAGGCTGAATCTGCCGAGGCTATCAAGAAGGTTGCTGATTCTCAAAAAAGGGAGGCCGAGGATAAAATGGCCCTGGCCCAAAAGGAGCTCCAAGAGGCCCTGGCCACCATGGAAGCCAAAATCAAGGACGTTGACGAGAAGGCGTATGCCCATGGCATGACCGATGTTACAGAGGCCTATGAAATACAAGTGAAGCAGGCATCCAACAAGGGTTTCACCCTTGGTTGGATGTTTCTTCTAAAAAAACTTAATGTCCCCGAGGACTCGCCCTTTAGAAATGCCGATGCCATTCCTCTTCCATTCCCTCCACCTCCTCCACCAGCTCAATCCGATGATGATTCTGAATCTGAAGAGGAGGTGTTGGTGAGAAAGCCAAAAGATGCTGATGGGGCCTAGTCCCCTTCTCTGAATGAGCAAGTCTTGGACTTGACTCAAGATGAGGAGGGTGATGAGATTTCCAAGGAATTTGTTCCTAAGAATGCATCAGTCGACGTCACGTTTGCCGATAAGAGCCTTGATGAAACTCTGCAAGAGATTGATGCTGAGCTTGCGGCGGAGAAGGCGGCCGATGTGGCTTCTCAACAGTCTTCCGAGGTCCTAACCCAAGTTGCTGCTGATGCTGAGGAACCTTAATTTTCATGTCTTTTCTTTCCCTTCTTGTACTTTGTTTTTTGAAACAATGTAAGCTTTTCACATGGCCGATGTGCCCTCTTTTGTGTACAAATGCATTTGCTTTCCATGAATGCTTGAATCTTTATCTTCTCTTTATTGCTTTTGCATGATTCTATACTTAGAATATTCTGCATGTCTTTAATATACTCTTCCTTCTTTGTGCAACCTTCTCGGGGTGACATACCTCGGTTAACAATGATCTCGGTTTAACTTCAACTTGTAAATTGCTACAAATTTCAACAAGTGTTAAACAATGATCTCGATTTAGCTTTAACTTATAAATTGCTACAAATTTCAACAAGTGTTAAACAATGATCTCGGTTTAACTTCAACTTGTAAATTGCTACAAAGTTCAACTAGTGTTAAACAATGATCTCGGTTTAACTTCAACTTGTAAATTGCTACAAATTTCAACAAGTGTTAAACAATAATCTCGGTTTAACTTCAACTTGTAAATTGCTACAAATTTCAACAAGTGTTAAACAACTTTGTCTTCTCTCTGCCCCTTAATGTGAACCTGAGTTCCACTTGGGTTCTCATTATTCATGTCTTCCAGAAACCACATTATGCATCTTTTTCAGTCATAAGTGTTGAAGAATTCTGCTAAGATTTTATTGATGACGTCGGTAAAAAACAAGTACTATCTAATGATCGAAAAATTTCAAATTACAAGTGTTCCAGGGTCTTGGCAATGCTTTGCCCTCATTATCTTCAAGCCGATATGCCCCATTGCCCAATATCGAAGTGATTCTGTAGGGTCCTTCCCAGTTTGGGCCAAGCTTGCCCTCCCTGGGATCCTTCTTGTTGCCGACGACTTTCCTCAAGACTAGGTCGCCGACTTGAAACTCCCTTGGATTAACCTTCTTGTTATAAGCTCTAGCAAGCTGTTGCTGGTATGCTGCAAGCTGTATTGCAGCTTTCTCTCTTCTTTCTTCTAGAAGATCCAGATCTCGGGCTAAGAGTACATCATTAGTCCCGTTTTCAACTCCCTGGGTTCTGATCCCTGGGATGCTGACCTCTAGTGGAATGACTGCTTCTGTGCCATAAGCCATGGCAAAGAGGGATTCCCCTGTTGATCTTCTCGGCGTAGTCCGATATGCCCAGAGTACATTGGGCAATTCGTCTACCCACTTTCCTTTTGCTGCCTGCAGCCTCTTCTTTATCCCATCCAAAATTACTTTGTTGGATGCTTCTGCTTGCCCATTGCTTTGGGAAAAACTTGGTGTTGAAAAGTAGTTCTTGATCTTGAACTTTGTACAGAAGCTCTTAATTAGCTTACTGTCAAACTATGTTCCATTGTCGGCAACTATTGCTCTTGGAATCCCAAATCTGGTGATGATGTTTCTCCATATGAAGTTCTTGACATCCACATCTCGGATCTTGGCAAGAGGTTCTGCTTCTATCCACTTCGTGAAGTAATCTGTTGCTACCAGCAGGTACTTCCTTTGCCTAGTTGCTTGGGGCAATTGCCCAACGAGATCCATGCCCCATTGGGCAAATGGCCAAGGACTAGATATAGGGTTCAGGTCAGCAGCTGGCTGGTGTATCAAAGGTGCAAACCTTTGGCATTATTCACACTTCTTCACGTAGGCTTCTGCATCTTTTTGCATGTAGGGCTACCAATACCCCTAGGTAATGGCCTTGTGAGCTAGCGATCTGCCCCCAGCGTTGCTTCCACAAATTCCTTCATGAATTTCATATAAAAAATCTTCAACCTGCAAAGGATGTACGCACCTTAAAAGGGATCCAGTGAAGGACCTTCTATAGAGATGTCCTTCCGTTGTCAGACTGAATCTTGCCGACTTCAATATGACCTTGTGTGCCTCCTTGTGGTCTTCTGGAAGCTTTCCTTCTTTCAGGAATGCAATAATTGCATCCATCCAGCTTGGTCCCATGTCCACACACATTGCTTCATGCTTTGTGGTCGGTGGTTCTATGCTCGGGCCCGACAAATAGTCAATCATTATTGTCCTTGTTTTTCCAGTTTGTATTGAACTTGCTAGGTTGGCCAATGCGTCGACGTGACTGCTATCATCTCGACTAACCTGAAGAAGTCGGCAGTTCTGAAATAAGGCCGCCAATCTGATGACCTCTTTTGCGTATGCCGGCATCCTTTCATCTCTTGCTGCAAACTCGCTCGTTGTTTGGTTGACTATAAGTTGTGAGTCACAAAAGACTATTACCTCATCTGCTTCTGCTGCTACTGCCAGCTTTAGTCCTGCAATCAATGCTTCATATTCTGCCTCATTGTTTGAGGCCTTGAACCTCAATCGAATAGACTGTTCCAATATCTCCCAATCTGGAGATATCAGTACTACTCCTGCCCCGCTCCCTGTCGGTTTGAACTCCCATCAACGAACAGTCGAAAGGAGTCGCCGATGTAAATGCTGTAGGGTCCGAGTTTCTCTTCTTTCCTTTGTTGTGTTGTATTCGGCTGTGCTTCTTTTTCCTTGCTTGGGCATTGCTCTCATTGGCTCAACGGAGCCCGGTGTACGATGGATTCTGGCGTGAACTCGGCCACGAAGTTGGCCAAAACTTGGACTTTGATTGCTATTCTTGGCCTGAACTCCAGGTTATACTGGCCCAAGGCTACTGCCCATCTGGCTATTCTTCCCGTTAAGTCTCCTTGTTGCAACAAGGACTTCAGTGGGTGTTCTGTTAGCACCACAATCTTGTGGGCCTGGAAGTAATGGTTCAGTTTCTTTGAAGCCATTACTAAGGCCAGCATCATTTTTCTAAGGGTAGATACCTTGTTTCTGCATCGGCCAAGGTCTTGCTTACATAGTAAACAGCCTTTTGCTTCCTTTTTTCTTCTCGGATTACCACCGCGCTTACTGCGTGTTCTGAAACTGTTAAGTACAAAAACAACTCTTCTCCAGGTGCAGGCGTTGAGAGGACCGGGGCTGTGGTCAGATACTTTTTTAGGTCGGCTAAAGCGGCTTCACACTCTTCGGTCCACAGGAAGTCCGTGGCTTTCTTCACTAAGTTGAAGAAAGGTTTGCACTTGTCTGAGCTTCGGCTTATAAATCTGTTTAGGGCTGTGGCCCTTCCAGTAAGCATTTGTACCTGTTTTGTCGACGTCGGGCTCTTTAACTCTAGGATGGCCTTGATCTGATCTGGGCTGGCCTCAATGCCCCTTCTGGTCACCAGGTACCCCAAAAACTTTCCAAATCCAACTCCAAATGCATATTTCGATGCATTGAGTTGGAGCCGATATGTTTTAAGGATCTCAAAGACTTCTTTTAGGTCGGCAAGATGACCCTCAGGTTCTTTGGTCTTCATGACCATGTCATCGATGTAGACTTCTATTGTTCGGCCAATTAGGAGTTTGAACATCTTGGTTACCAACCTTTTGTAAGTTGCTCCTGCGTTTTTGAAATCAAAAGGCATCACCTTGTAGCAGTATAGTCCTTTTGGGGTAACAAACGCAGTCTTCTCTTCATCCAGGGGGTACATGGCTATCTGGTGATACCCCCTGTAGGCATCCAGGAAGCTCATCCTTCTATGCCCTGACGCTGCGTCCACCAACTGGTCAATCTTAGGCAAGGGAAAACTGTCTTTGGGATAAGCCTTGTTCAGGCTGGTAAAGTCCACACAGACCCTCAATTTACCATTCTTCTTCTTTACTACCACTGTATTTGATCGCCACGTCGGGTAATTGACTTTTCTGATGGCCCTTGCCTCCAGAAGTCTGTCTACTTCATCTTCCACTGCTTCGACGTGCATCAACATCGGTCTTCTTGCACGTTGGATTACAGGTTTGGCTGACCTGTCGACGTTCAGTTTGTGACAAGTGACCACGGGGTCAATGCCTGGCATTTCGTAAGGTGTCCAAGCGAACACCTCAATGTTTGCTCTTAAAAAAGCTTCCAACTCTTTTCCTTCTTTTTCGGCTAAGCCCGAGTCGAGAAGAAAAAAGCGTTCTTCATCCCCCTCCTGAACGAGGATTTTCTTTAGTGCTTCTTCACTCTTTTCGGCTGGCTCCTTGCCGACATCATCTAGGACCTCCACGTCATTGTCTTCGATTTCTACCTTCTCTGGCTCTTGAATGCTGCAGGTGGATTTCATTGTTGCCATGGAGCAATTTTTTGCATGCAGTTGATCTTCTCTGACTTTTTCAATCCCATGTTCTATTGGGAACTGCAACAGTTGATGCAATGTTGAGGGAATTGCCCCCATTGCATGCAACCATGGCCTTCCCAAGATGATGTTGTAAGGGGAGGGTGTGTCGATTACGGTGAACTCTGTCTTGATCTTCTTAGTGCCGGCTTGTACTTCTAAGTTTGTTGCGCCAAGTGGCCATGTCGGCGTTCCATTGAACCCGACCATCGGGCCATTGGATTGCTCCATGTCATCAGGGTGAAGGCCCAGCTCCTTGTAACATCTAACATACATGATGTCATAAGAGCTGCCTTGGTCAATCAGGATGCGTTTCACTAGGCACTCCCTAACCTGGAGGGATACTACCAAGGCATCATTATGCGGATGCTAGACCATCTCTAAGTCGGCTTCAGTAAAGGCTATTGTCGGTCCCTGGCACTCTCCAGGCCGAGGTCTTTTCTGTCCGACATGGTTCACGTGCTGTAGGTGTTTCACCCTCTAGGTCTCCCCCCGTATGTCATTTTCGTTCACCTTCAAGTGAATTACATTAACCACCCGAGGTCCTCCTGCCTATGGTTGCTGTGCTGGGAGAGACGGAGCTGCTGGTGCTTGAGGCAATCTTGCCTGTTCTTCTCTTGTTCTAGCCTCGTCGACCTGATCTCTCAAATGGCCTTGCCTTACCAAGTCTTCCAAGTGTGCTTTCAGGGCTCTACAACCCTGAGTCATGTGCCCCTCTTCATTGTGGTAGGCACAACGCCTGCCAACGTTCCTCTCCATGAATTCCCCTGGTGCCCTTGCTGGTGCTCTGAAATAGGGATGGTTCCGAATTTGATCCAGGACTTTGTGAATTGGAATTCGGA